AGAGGGCTTCACTTCCCGGGTTTTATGGGTCGCTGAAGCTTCAATGAATGACCTGAAGAGAAAGGGAACACCAACTCTCAACATTCCAAGTAATACAAACTAAAATAAAGTAAATTCATGCACAACGATGAATCATGTGACAAAATTTTTAATCAGACCAAATGAGTATTTTATTATCAAGAAAAGGACATACAATTCCTAGTATCGTGTGTCAGTTCCGGTATACTTCATCAGTTTACTCAATAATAACATTACACCAACTTCAAAAATTAAGTACCATAGTGGAACTTAATGAAAGTATCAGAGAATAGAACAGGTCTATTGATTACGCGTACTTGATTGTTGCTCCTTCTTTACCAATAATTCCACCGCAAGAGCTATTAGGAACTACAAGTCTAAATTTAGGCCTAGCTTCAGCTTCATTGGATTCTTCACCCTGGAAAATAACAGGAGAATATCAGTTATCAAACAATGGCAACATGGTCCTACAGACATGACCATTTGCAAAACAAATTGTTTTACCTCTGATAATAGTTTCTCCAGAACCAACTCCATGGCCTTAACTACTTCGTCAAACAGTCGAGAGACCATTATGATTCTATCATTTGTACCAGGGTAAAACTCATGGCTGCGCGATAAAGTGGGTATGCTAGCAGCTATAGATTATTACAGCGACAAATTGCAAACTACACGTAATAACACCGACCCGACTGCTTTCCTAGACTATTGGCTGCAATGATTTTACTAATCATGAATAACATATTCTAGTATTAAATAAAGAAAACATGCAGCTTGGATTCGACACAAAATTAGAGCATTGCATTTGAAACAGACATTAGGGCTGGTGTATCAATTTGGATGCTAGCCATACCATCAACTATAAATCTTCCTGCGTCTGCATCTTTCAGAAGGATACTATATTGTTGTGATACATAACAAACAATAAATCAGAAGTTAGATCCATCAGTGGATATGCTAGGATGTCTAAGGAGAATAAATTTTCCATTCATTCTATACCTTTGCAGACTCAGCTACAATTTCTGGAAGTTCAATAGCCATAACATCATTCAAAGCCTACATCCAATTTGCAACCAGAACTACCAATATAATCGGCATTTAATTATACAGTTTATGCTAAGAACCTGAGTAGCAGTAGAAAAATGAATCACCAAATGGTTATTTCACAACATTGCTCAAGCCTTAACATCATCAAAGCCGGCGACGAACTTATAACCAGAAGTACCTAGTATTATTTTACCGGCTTATGCTAAGCATCTTAGTAGCAGTAGAAAGAGTAATCGTTAAATGGTTATTTCACAAGGTTGCTCAAACTGTAAAAGGTCGTATTTCTATCAGTTCTGGACCTTCTGGTGACACCAATAAAATATAATTTCTCGATCTAGTCTGAAGTCTATAATTGTCCATGGAAGAGAACAGAAATGTAAATAAAATTTATTATGAGCATGCTATATATTGCTTTTTGCCAGCTCATGATTCAATATGTTCAAACAGCAAAAACATGTGTTCTTTAATTCAAACTACAATGTCGAGCAAACCTACCAAAATTTATCTTTTTCTTCTTATTTTTATATTTAAATTTATATATTAATTAACTCCATGGCGTATAAATTCCCATGCTAAAGGAAGCGTTCCAAGAACCACATCACCTGCTCCCAAGTGAATGTCTTATGAATCAACAACATACGTGAAGCTCGTAGCGGGTGCTCTGGAACAGGGTTTATCATCTATGAATAGAACTTCGTTAATGGTATAAGAGACTCCAGAATGGCTGCTCTGGAAAGTACTTCATGTAGGTTGCTGATCAAATAAATAATTAAACATAAAAAAATAAGAAGAGAAAGCATGGAAAAAGATGTTATTTGAGTAATTACTACCAGGCAGAAAACTCCTACTGTCCATGAATTACAGATAATTCTTATTGTACCATGAGTCATGCATGAACAAAAATCCCCTGCAAAGAACTACAGAAATACTGTAAGAACTTGTAGAAACTGAATTCATGTATTGATAGAGATCCAAAGTCCGCGAGATGATAATGAGGGAAACACCAATGGACTGAAAACATTAGCAAACATAGACGCGACAGCTTTTTGGCAAGTCCCAATTCCCAAGCCTAAATATTAAGGAACACGTGGCTAACTACATCAACTTGTTTACCACTATTCATGTCAGGTGACACCACCATCCTCCTCGCCACGCTGCTGATTGCTAGATGTCCCCATCTCCTTGTTTTTTCTCTTGTAGGTCAATCCTCTTGTTGTAATGTTTCACGTGGCATACCAGTCCTCTCCCTGAGTTATCATCCTTGCACATCTTTACCTCCGATGCTTCCCCTCCCCATCTTATTGTTGTCAATCAACTCATCCTCAAGACTGAAAAGAGCAAACCATCGGATTATTTCCCAGAGAAATGGACTGGTCTTCTTCCCATCGGTGTCCTTCTGCTACACACGCAACTTGGACCCTTGTATCCATTGCGTTGTGCCAGTCTCCAGAGATGGTGGCAGCAGCGCCTTGTGCTCGCCGGCGCCTCCTTTGAGACTTTCTGCCATGGTCATGGACGCCCAGAACACCGCTGTCGGAGCAGGCAAGGGAGAAGAGGCCGGGTTCTTACCATATCCGCCATTGCAAGGTAACACAACTGGACAAATCAATTACTTGCATCATGTTTCTTCTTCAGACATGGCACAACCCTTAATAGAGGAGGAGAAAGCGACCTTATGGGGTGGGTGACCGTGGTTCGGCTGGATGAATCTGCCGGCGTCGAGCTTGAGTTCGGACTCGATGAAATTCTGGTTGAGCTTGTCACCACAGGCCAAGCACACCCTCAACAATTAGCTCATGGAGCTTGGTGCAGCGTTGTGGGCCGATGACGCACGGCAATGTGGCATGGCTGGGAGGAAGGGGGTCCAGTGGGGCGCCTACCAATTAAGGAACAATAGCAGTAGCCAAAACGCAAGGAGACGCTCACCTGGGTGAGAACCGCCGCGAAGGACATCCCCAGCGGTAGCGCGAGGCCCTTGCACGTCGTCACCGGCGCCCTTGCCGTCGCCTTCGCCGCCGTCTCCTCTCCGAGCGGACAATGGTCGCGGGCGCCGCCGCAGGTGAATCCCCTTGTGCGGCCGGGAGCGCCGAGAGGCCGATCCGGTCGAGGACGCGGAGGAGGAGGCCCTGTCGGCCTCCGGGGAGTCGCCGGCGACGTGGGCAACCCCGTCCATCGAAAGGGGGGCCGCTGGAGTTCAAGCCCCGCCGCTGGACCTCCTCCCGCACCTCGTAGATCGCCTCCACGCCATCCCCCGAGCAGGATCCGGCCCCTGCCTCGCCTCCTAGACCGGATCTGGCCGGAGATTGTCGTCGTCGCGCCCGGCATTGTCTGCATCGCAGCCCCATCTCGCTCGGAACCGGCGAGGAACGCCACCGCCATGTACTTGGAGTTGAAGCTCCGCCGCTGGACCTCCTCCCGCGCCTCCTAGATCGCTCCAGCCTCGCCTCCTCGATCGGATCTGGCCGGAGATCGCAGCCGCCGCGCCGGACATCTTCTGCATCGTGGCCAGCCTCGACCTGCAGCTCGTCTTGCTCGCCAGCAACCGAATAACAAAACACAGGGTCGTTTTTGTAAGAATGACGTATATCATATATCCACTTAAAAGGGGACTGCGGGTTGAATAACAAAAAGGACAGGGACTATTTTGCAAAATCGCTAGCGAAGACGGACGACAGAAACCCAATTTTCTTTATTATTAGGTAAAGATTTTAGTATGCACCATCTTTGCATTCCATGAACCTGTTTTTTTCTTTCAAGTCTCCAGTAATACAATCGACATTGGAACTCAAATAAAAACATCTGAAAACGAAGTCTCTTTTTATTTTAAGTTGATGAAGACGGCCACGAATGGGAATTAAACAAGAACTATATTTTCCTATATTTTGTCTTTTTTAGGGGTACTACATTTTGTCTGAAATGCCCGTTGGATGAGCGCTGGGCTGGGCCTGGGCTGCACTCACTTGGTCACCCGGCCCCGTTCGGGCTCCACGCTGCACTCCCACTAAAAAAACCTCAAGTCGCACAGCAGCCAGAGCGGCGGCCAGCGGGGTACCCACCGGCGCGGCGCGGACGGCCAATCGACCATTCGACCGCTGCTGCCGGCGCGATCTCTCCGGTACCCACCTCTTCCTTCTCCCCTCATATCCCGGCCTACTCTTCTGCTCGCTCACTGGAGCTTTCTTCGCTGCTTCCGCCGTGTCCGCTGGGTATGCACGCCAGGTGTTCGACGCATTGCTTGGCGCGTTTGGGGTGGTTGCGATGTTCGAAGTACGATATCATTCGATGATGTTGTTGCTTCTTTGCAGCCTTGCAGGAATGATGGTAGCATACAAGAAACCACACCCGCAGCCACAGTCGTTGTGGTCAGACCTCCCGCTGGACATAGTAGGCCTTGTTCTCAGCCTGCTCCCCGAGTACGCCGACCGTGCCGTCTTTGCTGCGGTGTGCCCGCACTGGCGTGCGGCCGCGAGGCAGCAGCTCGTGCCCCCGCCACTGCCTCTTCTCGCGCTCCCAGACGGCACCTTCTACAGCATCTTGTACCCTAGGCTCTATTCCTTCCCTGGTTGCGGCTTTGCAGGGTACGAGAGTGTCTGTGGCAGCTGGCTCGTCTTCCCACGTGACGACGGGTGCTTCCTGGTCAATCCATTCTCCAGGGCCACCGTCACGCTCCCTGCTCTCTCCTGCGTCCGACTCCGTCCTCCAAATGCAGTCGCTAAGTGGTCACTCGAGGATGGGTCAAAAGTTGCCGACCCTTACATCACATGGATGCATATCAATACATCGGAAAAGCTGCACATAAGTAAGCTATCCCGTGCTCGCCAAACCTTGTTGCTGCACTGGTTGGCATTGGACACACCAGCCAGATTCTACTGTGCCAGCCAGGGGCCTCGTCGTGGTCAGTGCGTGCTTACGATCAGTGTAAGGGGTTCGAAGACATGGCGTTCTACCAGGGCAAGCTCTACGCCATTGCCAATGACGAGAACCTCCTTGTGGTGAACATCAGCCAGGACCATAGCACCGGCGATCCACAGGTTTCTTGGATTGGACAAATCATCAAGGGTGAGCCATGGTATCCAGTTGTGTTGGAAGACAACACTATGCCCTGCAAGAAGCTCTACCTGGTTGAATCGCATGGGGCACTGCTGATGGTACGAAGGGCAATTTGGTGCCGGGTACCTGGACCTGGAGTGCCTGGTGAAGTTATTGCTGGAGTGAGCGGGTTTGAGGTTTTCAAGGCCGACTTTGAGCATTCACGGTGGGTCAAGGTGTCGACCATGGGGGATGACCAAGTGCTGTTTCTAGGGCGAAGGTGCTCCAGGGCCATGTCTGTGTCTCAGTACGGGCTGTCGGGTGATTATATCTTCTTCTTGGATGATGATGAGGAGAATTGTACGGACTACTGCTACGACAAGGAGAACACTTCTTTCAGCGCCTATGACATGAGATCCAGCAGTGTCCTTCCGGCATGTCCCAGTATTTTCTGGAAGTGTTGTAATGAGATGCGTCTGGCTGCATGGCTCTTCCCTGAGGACCGATGAGAATGTGTCATAATGTTCTATATATGCAAGCTGCTCCGAGGTTATCTAGCCATGCTATAGATGTTGTTGTTCCGGGGTTATTCTCCAACTTTCTCATAAGTTATCTATCTGACTGCGGTAGTATATGGTGGTTGGGATAGTGTTCACTGGTTCCCCTACAATCCGTGAAATGCATTAGTAGTAGAAAATAGTAATATTGCTGCTGTCTATCTGAGCTTTGTTACTCTGCTAAGTGCTGTTTGTTCATCAGTGCTTGTCTGAAGTTGTTGTGGTGGTTACTACTATGGTGGTTTTTGATTACTAAAATGGTTGTTGCTGTGCCTACGAAAGATCTTAAAATGCATCACTGCTTAATCTTTGACTGAGTGGTCTCTCTTTTTCTTTCTTTCTTTTTCTGCGATGAGTTGGCATGGCATTCTTTTTTTTTTTGGCTGACTACCTTGTAATGCGCATCTTGTGCTGCTCGTGAGGTCCGTTTGATTTGATTTGAGATTCAGCTAGTCAGTGCTTCGGAAGTATTTTATCTGTGCAATCGCAGTAAATTTATTGCTCCTCTTCACCGGTTGACGGCGAAATAAAATGGAATTGCCACACCTGACAGCCACCTTTTCGTGCCGTTATTTCAAAAGCACGAAGTTAATTTGAAAGGCTACTTATGAACCCAGTAATGCTAAAATGGAGCAGACAGGGGTGCAGTGCCATTAGAATGAGCTTTGGGTGTTGATTTGCACTGCGCCAGGGATCATCTGGTGCATGTCTCCTCTGCTTAATTCATACTCTTAGATTTCTCTTTCTATATTTGTGTCCAGAAAACAATAGTTTTGTAACTTTCGTTACTCCAGTGCACGCATGCCATAACCCTGCAGAACAAATTAAACTTGGAACATGATCAGATCAGCTAAGTGATTGCCAGTGCCTATCGGGTCATGTTTTCAGAGAAGTATGTGGACTCATGTTAAATATTAATGCACACCTGGACCTAGATTTATTAACATGCCGGCAAAGTAGTCAACAAGGTGTTTCAGTTTTTCCATCTATTCCTAAAAGTACTTTATCCCGATCTTGAAAAACCGAAGAACTAGCTTCATTGATTGGTCCTTTTTTTTCTTTTCCTTTTTGCTCTCATATGTATTGTTTCTTAATTATTATTAAAAAATTGAATGAAACCTACCCGATATAATGGGTTTATGCCCTTGTGACACAATCTAAAATCTCATCAATTCCAGGCTTCGGGCTTGTATCTGATCATTTGATATTGTTCTACTTATTAATATCACATGTTCCCTCTGTAAAGAAATATAAAAGCGTTTAGATAACTAAAGTAGTACATTTTTAAAAATAATTATGTTTGTTTATCAAATGCACTTTTTTTGTGAGGAAAAGCATGTTCGAAGATTCCTTAACTTCTTGCATACTAGTAAGTGTACACGTGCAATGCACGTCAAACCATGCAAAAAAAACTTAGTGGGATATTTAAGTGATGAGTTAGTTCAAACGTGAGCAATGTGGGTGTCAGTTTTGGCAAATTAGTGTCTAAAAAATGGTTTGGCATAGCAGGGAGTGATATATCCTAGTCTGTTATAACTGTTAGGAAAAATAAGAAACGAATAAAAAAATATCATATTAATAGGTATTTCATTATTGAGAATATACACAATAAAGATTACATCAACCACAGAGTTATGAATTCACATTTCATATGATACATTTCCATAGAATTTACATATATACATGAATCAAAGGTCGACAAAAACAGACGTGCATCATGTCAAAAACACAAGTGCCCATCATCGTCGCGATGCGCTGCAACAAATAAGAGTAAAAAAACCAAAGCACCATTCCGATATTCGATTTTGAAACAGTGGGGATAGGTACCTCTTCATTCAGAAGAATATGATACAATTTATTGCCTTGATTGATCACCTGAACTTATTTCAACCTCACTGTTGCAGTGAGGATGTCCCTTATACTTGCATGTGACTGCTCAATGCTTGTAAAATCCCAACACAATGAAGAGAATGAGACCAAAAGCTATGGACAAAAAGTCGTAGAGAACAAATATGAATAAGACAACAAAATTTATGAGGTCAGGTTCTAGAAAACATTTTGAGACAGAATAGAGACAGAATATCATTTTGGCAACCTTGCTCATATGTTTTAATCAGTACAGAGTATGTACCTGAAACAGATTGCCTTTCACCACACCTTTTTTCTCCATTGATGTGCTTCTCTGTAAATGAAAGCCTATGGACAAAACAACACCCAGATTTGAGAAGCATGGAGGTTACTTTTAGTAGAAAACACAAAAGGGGCAATCATATTATCACGCTTTCTATTTGGAGTATTGTGATCAGTTAAAATAACCAATAGAAAATCATTTTATTGTACAGTATAAATCATGTTGCAAGGTAGATCATTTTATTGTACAGTAAGCTCTCCAAAAGCACCTAATTTCAGTGTACAATCCGAATTGGTAAGAATACCTATAAACATATAGGCATGGAATTTCTTAGTGCAAAGATTAAAACAACAGAATTGTGTAAACTTACAAGTTTTGCAGATTTTTTCTGAAATCGATTATTTTCTATCAGATTATTTGCTAGAACTAATATAGAGTTGGGATAGTTGACATTGATGATTAGTAGTACTACTTGGTATCTATCAATACTAGAAGAACGCCCGTGCGTTGCAACGGGGCCACATTAACTTTAAGAGTTCAATATTAATCATGTTAATAGTATATTTGATATTCTCATACATATCCATCTTATTAGGTACGGGATGTAGAGGTTAATTGTTTCCTTTATTTGGATCAACTTCCAAGTTCCAAGTTCTAAAATTACCCACGTACATGAGAACTAAATAATTTTAGTTAACAAAAGAAGACTACTACTCATGAAAAGTTAATCTGCATATTCTCCTTGACAAGTTAAAAAGGTCATATATATGTTTGCATGGCTCTCTATTCTGTAAGGTTATTACATAAAACTCTTGTTCAATTAGAAAAAAGTTATAATAAGCAGCAAACATTAAAAGAATAGGTGTCTGATTCCAGGTCGTGCTTCTCCAAATGAATGTGTCACTCACCTAAAGAACTACCAGATTACGACCAATGCCAAAATCTGGGTTGTCTTCTCCCAAGAAATTTGTACAAGCCCCTCGTCATTCTTTGTCTGATTGCATCATCTAAACCAGGCTAAATATTTTTACTTTACCCATGTGAAATTATGCATCAAGTAATCAGGTAAACAAGTATAGAATGACATGCAGATGTAACCTGACCTTTCACCTTGTTAGGGAGTCCCTTCAATCCAAGAATATACAACATCCAGAAAAAATAAAATCAATGTCATAATTAGTAATCATTTTTCAGCAACAAAAGATAAACAACAATTGGATTTTTAAAACAAAACCCACAACTACACAAGTATATTAGCACAAGTGTGGATCCTGTCCCACTATTCATTTGTTCACAAAAAAGTTCAGAATAGCAATCTTGGCGAGCCCCGTGCAAGCATCCCGTGATCTCGGCCAGGATCGATCTGCATGGCATGCTGTCGATTCTTCCAAGAGTGGGCGCTGAAAGGAACGATCCCGAACCTGCATTGTCAATCGGACAGAGCTGCATCGGCCTTCGGATCAGAGCGTGAACGGGATCGAGGAATTTGGAGGAAGTGAGGGAGTAGGATGGAAATCACGAGAACTCACCCGTATCTTGGGTCGTGTTAGTTCTTCGGGGGCTGCCACGGGCTGTCCTCGTCGCCATCGGCGACTCCGCCACTATAGCGCCATGAGCGTGGGATTGAGGGACGAAGGGAAGGAAAGAAAGCGGATTAATGACGTACCTGATGTTTGGTATGTAATAATCGGGTTAATTACTGTTATAATTCATTAAGTTTGTTTCTTTATATTACACTTTGGCGCTAGGAAGGTGGGACTCATATTGTAAAAAAAGGGAAGTTCGCACTGATGGATGAGGAGATCTCTTGCCTACGATTTCAATTACCAATTACCGAATCAGGCTACGCTGATTGCTCTCGATTTACTAAATCAGAACTTGCCAAAATATTTACATGATTGAATTGAATCGACACCTGCCAAAGCAAGCACGAATAAATGGAAGGAGAATCGGACGTGATTCGGTTTTAAGTGGGAAGAAGAAAAAGTTAAGGTGGGAGGGGTGGTGAGAGATGAGACAAAAATAAACCAAACCAAAAAAACCGACGAAACTGGGAGCCTCGGTACGAGGTTAGGCCCTGGAGTGCGTGGGGCGGGTGGGGGCCTCGGTACGAGGTTTTTTCGGTTCGTGGCGGCTCAATGTGAGGTGGGAGCAGGTACCAAAAATAACCATGAAAGGTGGGACGAAAAAAAACCTGGAAGCGAGACTACCAACTGCTCCATTAGGAGTAGAGATTGTTAGTCGAACTGAGACTGCTTACAACCATTTGCTATAGAATTTACAGGTGTACTGAAGGATATTAATCAAGAGCAGCCAAATCATTTCATATATGAAGCGAAAATCAAGAATTACTGGCATTAAGGTAATCAGTGAAAGCACATACCCGAACAAAATTTGAAGCAACCAATTTGATTACATCAATTATAAAGAGTATAGATACATCAATTATAACTGGAACTGAAGATCAGTCACACACTTGTTGAAATGGAGCAAGGTGTGATGACTTAGATTGTCAAGGATTCAGAACATGAGTGAGAATTTGAAGTACGAAGAACATACCAGGATCCTATGGGGAGAATGTGGTGGGGCCTGTCTAGGCGATTGGGCAACCGCAGCAGGTCATTGAACTTGGGAGTCTTGGCCATCAAATCCTTGACAATCTCCTCAGCCTTGTACGTCACATTACCAGCTAAGGGAGGCCCTGTATTACAGCAAGAGGTGTTCAGAAATCAGATCTTGAAAATAATGCTACACTGTATGCAGAATCATGTCAACTGATATAGAGGGAGATATGACATATGAGTCAATCGCCGAAGCTGCTTGCTGCGGAGCATGGCCACGAACATCTTGTTAAGTTTCACGGTGTCGAGGTGAGAGTTGGGTTACTTCTTGAGGCTGCACATATAATACAGATATGGGCAGAGAACATACCTTTACTATTGATGACTGCAACGCAGGGGCCGCTCCACCACGCCACTTCTCAGGCTCGCTTGCCGACTGCGACGCCGGCTAGGAGGCCTCGTGTGCCGCCCACCGGAGGCGGCCACCGCCGGCTGCTGCGGGTTTGTCGTGGCTTCCGTCACCCCACATTGCGGCTCGACGACCCAGATGGTAGCGAGATCCTGGCAGCCGGATCACACCCTGCACACGTACGCCCTCCATCACCTTGTCGTCACCCCGGACTTCTTGGCCCGCACCGACTCGTCCCCCATCCCGCCCACCGCAGCCGCTTCAGCTCGACGGGGTCGAGCAGGCGCTCCGCGGGCGTCAGCTCCCGCGCTTTCTTCTCCTGCTGCAGCGGTGCCTCGTCCCTCGCCGCGTACCACAGGACCGACCTCCCATTCCCATCTCCCCCTGCCTACTCTTACCGGTCTTCCTCGACGGGACGTGAAATAAGGGAATGGGTGCTAGGTCTCGAAGAGCCCAAGGGAGCGGACCAGCGGATGATCCCGAGGATGGCTCGGCGAGTGCAGCCGCCAGGGACGCCGACGCCGAGGGGATTCTCGTGGCCGTCACAATCGCCAGCGGCAGCATCCGCGGCAGGGGAGGACGCGTTAATTGTGCCTATTTTTCTGGAATTGATCGCTTTATTATTTTTTTCTGGCCGCGGACTACAAGGGTTCGATAGATATGGCAGAGTTTCGTCCGCCCACGTGAATTGCTAGACGTACACAGGTGAGGGTTAAGTTTTACGTTGACGGTTAGATCTAATTAGGTGGATCAGATCGTGTGGTGATATTTTCTCTCGGTAGTTTTGTGTACGTGTTTTCGGGTGCGTTTAAGAATATGTTTGCTTGTTTAATAGTAGTAGAGATATAAATAAAATCCCATGTGGCATTTCGCTTTTTAAAAATGTTTGATTTTATTTTTTTACTCACAGGTTCTTACTTCCTCACTCTAAATAGTTTTTTTCTTCTCCAAGTTCCACTGCTGCTGCTTCAAGGTATTGGGCCATGTTTGGATGTTTGGATCAGCGAGAGCAGGCCCATAAAGCTTGGCTCAATAGCACTCATTGGTCACATGGTCCCGTTCGGGCAAGCCACTCCACGTTTCTCAAAAAAAAAAAAGGGCAAGCCACTCCACTGTCCACACTCCACTCTCGCACGACAGCAGCGGCGGCGGCGGCGGACTACACACCGGCTGCGGCGCGGCGCGGACGGCAAATCGACACACACTCCCGGCGCGGCTTCTCTGGTACCCTCCTCTTCCTTCTCCCCTCACCTTACCGTCCCCTTGTGCTCGCTCAGGGGGATCCGTCCCTGCTCCCGCCATGTCCGCTGGCTATGCACGCCAGGTGCTCGACGCATTGCTTGCCGCGTTTGGGGTGGTTGTCAATGATGATGTTGCTTCTCTTCTGCAGGACTGATGGCAGAAGAGAAGAAACCACACTTGCAGCCACCGCCGTCGTGGTCAGCCCTCCCGCTGGACCTAGCAGGCCTGGTGCTCAGCCTGCTCCCCGAGTACGCCGACCGCGCCCGCTTCGCCGCGGTGTGCCCCCAGTGGCGTGCGGCCGCGAGGCAGCAGCCCCAGACCCCGCCACTGCCGCTGCTCGCGCTCCCGGACGGCACCTTCTACAGCCTCCTCTCCGGCAAACCCTTCCGCTTCCCTGGCTGCGGCTTCGCTGGGTACGAGAGCGTCTGTGGCAGCTGGCTCGTCTTCCCGCGTGACGACGGGTGCTTCCTGGTCAATCCATTCTCTGGGGCCACCGTGACGCTCCCTGCTCTCTCCAGCGTCCGACTCCGGCCTCCAAATGCAGTCGCTAAATGGTCAGGCCACAGAAGTGCAAAGATTGCCGACCCTTACATCACATGGATGCATATCAATACATCAGAACAGCTGCACATAAGTAAGCTACTCATGTGCTCGGCAAACCTTGTTGCTGCACTGGTTGGAATTGGGCACACCAGTCAGATTCTAATGTGCCAGCCAGGGGCATTGTCCTGGTCAGTGCGTGCTTATGATCAGTGTAAGAGGTTCGAAGACATGGCATTCTACCAGGGAAAGCTCTATGCCATTGCTGATGACGAGAACCTCCTTGTGGTGAACATCAGCCAGGACCATAGCACTGGTGATCCACAGGTTTCTCGGATTGGACAAGTCATTGAGGGTGAGCCATGGTATCCAGCTGTGTTTGAGGACAACACTATGCGCTGCAAGAAGCTCTACCTGGTTGAATCACATGGGGTGTTGCTGATGGCACGAAGGATGATCTTGTGCCAGGTACCTGGACCTGGATGTTAGATTTATAATCCCGTAGGATCTACTTAACAGATCGTAAGCCAGACATTAGATCACCTAATAGCACAGATCAGAGAGATGGATTAGGTTCTTACCACCAATGGAAGCAGCCATTGGTGTCGACGGTGCGAAGTCCCGTGCCTGCTCGATGCAGGCTTGATGCAGGCTCGGTGAAGAGGCTCGGTGAAGATGCACAGATCAAGCCTG